CACTACATTTTATTGCTACATCACAAAAATACATTACGTAATTTACAACTTTGTCACTCTTAGATAAGTTCTGAAGGTTTCGCAATCATTGCTGTTGCCATCTTCAGGTGGCATGTCCTCAAACGTCAAAGCTGCAGCCCCAAGGACATGACTATATCACCGAAATATAACGCTAACTTCGACTAGAAAGCCATGCAATGGATATGATTACTTTATAAATTCTTTCTACAAAAAAAATATTTGCGTTTGTAACATTTCTTTCCGTTAAAATACTTTTAGTAAATGATATTATATTTTATACAGTTTCATGAAATATATTCCAGTATTTTTAAACTGGTATGGAAATGTCTAGAATCCTAGAAAGTTAAATGTTTTTAGCTCCTTACCATATCAAGTGTTACAAATCAGTGTCGTAACTCAGTACGTCGGACTGAAATAATGAGCTAATAAAAGGATTTTTATCTGCGTAAACCCACAAATTAACTAATTCCTTTTTCGACGTTAATGTTCGCGTTACATTTAGTTTGGAGCGAGCGATTTTCAAACCTCAATCAACACAGACCAGCCACTATTCATTTGATTAATATAAACATTTAAGTTATTTGTTATCCAAACCACTTAAGCCGAACGAATTTCCATTATATTTCGTGTGGAAGTTTGTCACTAAAATCAATAAACTCAGTTGTGTTTTTGGTCCATAGTTGCAAACCCTTTCTTAACACGAAGCTCTAATAATATTTCCCATAGCTACGCAGTTAAACGGCAGATGTCATAAAGATCTCTATCTTTTACTTGAAAATCTCGTTCTTATGTTTTATTTTAAACAAACACAAAAACAAATTAATTTATGCCTCTAAGCAATCTTTATGGCTTTGTCTACAATAAAATTTATGACTATATGTGGTGCCCTATTCTTACACTTAAGCAGATATCGTGACAATGAAAGTCCATCCACAATAAATAAAATGAGGTATTTGGAATAGCTGTTTGAGCACATAATATCACGAGTACTATAAACCATACAACCATAAAAGTGTGCTGGTTTAGATGGTATTTCATAATTTATTATTGTATCATAGAATAGCACTTACGTTATGTAAACTGCTGGTTAAGCCACTTTTTATGGTACCTGTTATGTTTCAATGTGCAGACATTTCTAGAGGATCCAGGAGACAAGGCTAGAATATGTATTGGTTTATCGAACTAGATTATTACATCTCTCACCAGAAACATAAATACATTTTTAACAAACAGATCACAATGTTAAATTCCGATCAGTAAAACTCAAGTAAACAATGGCTTATATAATAATTATTATTATTATTTAGTGTTCTGTCTGACGACAGGTCCATATGAACAGATCCTTCCATCCTTTTCTCGGACTGGGACCTGTTCATATACGTTCTTGGCAGATGATCCAGAAGTGGTTTGCCATTGCCTTCTTCTGTGTGTGAATGGAGTAATTGGTGGGATGCCACGGAGGAAAACTCCGTGATGCCTAGACCACGGCCTTGAGGATCCTTCCATCCTTTTCTCAGACTGGGACCTGTTCATATACGTTCTTGGCAGATGATCCAGAAGTGGTTTGCCATTGCCTTCTTCTGTGTGTGAATGGAGTAATTGTTGGGATACCACAGAGGAAAACTCCGTGTTGCCTAGACCACGGCCTTGCCCAACACAAGTTATAAATTCGGGCAATTGTCTACAATACTTTCTGTGACATGTAAAGTTTATTTTTATTGATAGGTGTATTCAGTTATTAAACAATTCAAAACATCACAAAATGGCACTAGTATCAAATATCCATAACGTATAAGCGGCCATAATATTTACAGTACAATCTCTTGTTATTAAACATTATCTTTGAATCCGTTACACAGACGTGGATCATCGTGACGGATGGATCTTATTAATTCAGGTCTGCGTGTTGTCTCAGATCCAGAGACCTCATTAAGGACCAGTTACAACTCCGTGGAAGAAGGATATGTCTCTTCTGTAGGCTATAAATAGTGGGAGACTGTGTTGTACCTCCCTTTTGTGTGGGAGTGCAATGGTGTAGTTGAACTTCCTACTTGAGAACAACTTGAAGCGAATTAGGTTTGTTTCCATAGAGTAAACTTCTATAGATCTTTGAAAGCAACGCTGATATATCCTAAAATATAATGACTTACACGCAACTTGTAGATTTATATCTGATTCTGATTCTGTGTCTATGCTCATATTTTATCCCTTAAATTAGTAAAAACGGATTTGAATGATATTTGATGCTAATGAACGTACACTACGCTAGAAATCTGTGGGGGTAAATTTAACATAGTTTTTATCGATCTAATATGAAGTTTACTTTACATTAAAATCAAATGAAACCTAATATTTTAAAAAATAACCAATTTTCTTTCTGATAGAAGTTAATAATAATTGCGTTGTTTATAAACAGTCGTCAAACTTTAAAAGTGTGAGTTTCTTATCAGACTGTGTTTTGTTTAATGCAGTTTAAGAGCTGAGCGTCATCTGGTTCAGTTCATCTGTCAGTCGCGGCTTGCAGATTACCTTTTTCCAATATTCCCCGGTCAATTCCGATCACCCAGTGGTGTCGAAATGATTGAAAATGTTGATACTGTGGTTTCGGAAGTTGTCTGTGACGTCTGTTCTGTTGAAGCCGATGATATGATCAAAAGATGCATGTGCATTGACCACTGTCATCTAGTCTGGTGTCTCTAATATACACCGAAATCCTGGTGGAGCTATGACTACGCGTTAGGCCAAAATGGTGCTTTACAACAGAAGCTGTGCAGACTTGAAAGAACAAACATAGAATTATATATTTCGGAAGCGTGGTTTTCCTTCTCACAAATAACTTTTACTCCGGTCATCAAGTAATTTGTGTCAGACCTCTTAAGATGCTGCCCGTTAGGGTGGATTCTTCGCAGACGGCAGGGCCAGCGACTTCCCCGAGTGTCTGTTGATCGGGATATCCAGAAGGGATGTTGGTTAACCTCGACATGGGGTGTCTTTATTTCAGGTGAACGAGAAACTCATTTAAGAGCAGATAACTCTAACTTGAGACAGCGATCATGCGTACTTTAACTCAAAGGTCACCGCAGTTGAACAAATAGGGGTTTTGCATTACATAAATGCCAGTTCATCATCGTGAAAACAAAACGACAATCACTGCTGGTTACACGCGGTTAAATGCAACACCAGACACCAAATTCCAGACCACCCAAAGACAGATCAAGGCGATCGACAGGGAAGCTGGTGACAGGTGCTTGGGTGTGCCGGAGTCTTACCACGTAACGATATTTCGTCTGACCGGGTAATTAATTATACTCCTCAGTGTAAACGAGATGCAGGCAAACGCATCTGAGCTTGTTATTCAAAATGGGATTGTATCATCAGGCGGGGCAGTTCTAGCTCTGATTATTTGTGTTTGACTTTGTTTAACGACGTTTTTCCAACTTCATAAGCTACGCAGACTTCTGGTCGAGAAGATGAGAGACCAGGTTTAATACCCATACAAATAAACAGATAAAATTATAATTTTATATATCTTAAAATTTAGGTTGTAAGGTTTTGATAATATGAGCTAGCAGAAAGTGTTCGTAGGCAAATTTTGAATTTGTCAGTGTTGACCAAAAGGACACAAAAATGTTGCTTCGCACAAGTTTTAAAATACATTAGTTATTTCTAAACAAGCTAGGAAAAGTATGAATCTCTGATAATTCCGACGTGTTCGCAGAAATTGTTCTTTTATTTTTTAAAAAGTTCCAGTGACTTCAGAGTTGTCTGTGGTAAATGACCTTTGAGTGTGCAGGGTGTCTGACCCCTGTCTGGTTTCAGATCACGTGATGACAGAGACTTCCATGAAGGAGTTAATGACACATCTGGGAATTAATTGCTACTGAACACCCACTGCGTTATCGTAAGCGACAAGTTTTCTCCTCGGCTAAACGCACTGTATTTTAATAATTTTAATATACGAGGTGCGATCGGAAAGTTTCTAAACTGCGCCTATAAAAACCCGTACACTTATCTCAGGTATTAAATTCATCCATCACGCTCGAGGTAGTTCCCCTGGGAGTGAACACAACGATCCCAGCGCCGCTG